TTCAACGATGAACAGTTGATTCATGTAGCTCGTAATTTAAAAGATTTTCATTATTAAAAAACTCCACGCTGCCAAATTTATTTGTATATTATTCAGCTGCGTCGAGTTTTTTAATAATTAAAATTTTTTAAATTACGAGCTACATGAATCAACTGTTCATCGTTGATGAAATCAGGATTCTGACTTTTACGACAAAGATGTAATAACTTTCAACGAAAATATAAACATAATTTTTCTTCATCTAATTACTTATCAGCAGTCAATCACATCTAACACACACACACACACACACACGCACGCACGCACGCACGCACGCACGCACGCACGCACGCACGCACGCACGCACGCACGCACGCACGCACGCACGCACGCACGCACGCACGCACGCACCACGCACGCACGCACGCACGCACGCACGCACGCACGCACGCACGCACGCACGCACGCACGCACGCACGCACGCACGCACGCACCCACACACACACATACACACTGTCTTAAATGTAAAATAAAATCGCACTCTTTTATTCTCGCCGTAATTTTCTATTTAAATATATCATTATGTATATCATTTATTTTATTATTTAAGTATATCATTTCATTTTATTATTTAAGTATATCATTAATTTTTGTAGATAATTATGACAACTATTTTACACAATTTTTTTTTAATACAGCAATTTTTTATTAAAATAATTTTTTATAAAATAGTTTTATACAATAATGTTTTACTACTGAGATGACTCGACTGCCTTTTTTTACCTTTTTTTGGAAAGGTAATTTTTTTAGGATATCACTAATTTTTGTAGACAATTAAGAAATAACTACTTTTGCACATAAACTTTGTTTAATGTAATATTTTTGTAGTTTAAATAATACTATGTCTTGTGCATAAAACAGTTTTTTACAATAATATAAAATTTTTTACAATTTATTACTGACACATGATTAACTTTTTTTTACTTTTTAAAAAAGTAATTTTTGAGGATATGTTAAATATCCAAGTAAATAAGTAAAGAATCCGCCACCAGCCCCGTCATTTCATTAAAATATGACGATCTTCTCTACTTAATATACTTTTTGCTTAATAAACTTCGTAAATTTAAAATATATTAACAAAGCTACATTCTTTAATTAAATCCAGGTGCAGTTCACTTTAATAAAATTTTAATTTTAGGTTCAGTTACAAACCTTCGACATTTTCAATTAAGAAAAATCGTCTCTAAATAACTTTAGAGATCTGTTATTAATGTTACTAGATAGTGTGATAGTGCAGGAGACTGCATATAGGATGAGTTTTATTTCGTGTACCAATTTTTTTTATGCGAGAAATTACTGCCCAGGTAACAAGAACACGTCATTTTGACGTTTCAAACTAGTCATTTTTGGTCATATGTCGTCAAAATGACTGATTATTGTTACGCCCAGGCAGCAACGTCACGTGATTTTCACGTCGATAAGTAGTGATTAGCGGTCCTCGACGTCATATACTCAATAACTGACGTTTAAGATACGTAAATATTCTAACGTAATAATAACGTAAATTTTAAGACGTTTATAATACGTTTAAAACAAGTCATTTTTATTTAAATAATTTTTTTTTATGTAAATTAACTTTATTCTTTTATAATTCGTCAATGAAAAATATAAAAATCTACTAAATATTAAAATATATTAATTATTATAATTTTTATTAAATGTCATTAATAATTGCGCGTATAAATTTTTCCTACGTAGCAAATCTGTCATTTTGACGTCGAATGACGTTATTAAACGGTAAGATGACGTCAAGTAGACATTTAATGACGTCAGTTTGCTACTTCAATAGAAATTTCTATAAAATATTTGAAAGACATTACAAATAAAGATATCTGAAAAACATCTTATCATTTTAAGATGTTTTCTAGGCGTTAAAAAAATAGATATGTGACAATACGCACACAATAATTTAATGCATGAATATTAGGCAGCGCTCATGTACGCGCCTTTTCTTTATATCAAGTACTTCGTGCATATTTCCCCCGCTTGATGCTACTCATTGGCGGCAACCGGCAACCGGCTATTGTTTTTCGAGAACGTTTTTATTCTGTGCTTTGCGTAATACAATTTACAGTTTGTTTGTTGGTAAGTATCTAATACAAGTTTATTATCTTTATATTGACATATTTTTCTCTCGTACTTGAGCACAAATGTTGAAATATTTAATAATTAGAAATATTTGTAATAGTGTGTTTGTATATAAAGTATTGTCACGTCCGGCGATCCATAGATCCTTAGATCTAGGAGAAATTTTTTCCTTTTTTCACTATCCTCTATCCAATAAGCTACAAGCACAAACTAACATGAAACTAAGAGAGACACGCTTATACGTCACCTATAATAAAATACCAATCTGAGAGAGAGAGATATATATATATCTATATATATATATGTATATGAATCATCTATACGAGCGAGATAGACTTATGTGTAATACTTAGGAAAGACAAGGACCGATATAAGGAAGTCCTTTTAAATATAAGCTTCTTTTATATAAATATATTGTAAAACATGTCCAAAGATTAGAGAGAATCTATTTATGTAAAAATCATGATAAATGACCAATATTTTAAATAATCAAATAGTTATTGTAATTCTTTGGAAAGGGTCATTTATCGTAATTTATGTAAGACACGATCTTGCAAGCAATGCATTCAGAGAACCAACTAATATGTATTCTTAGAAAAACTTTCTCTTAAGGATCACCCAAGAAGTTCGCAAAAATCCGTTTCATAGCTAAAGAATTTGTTCTTAAAACTCCATCATAAATTATCCCTACTATTCAATTTTAAAAGAGTATAAAAACTCTTCCAACAACGGAACAAGAGCTCTGTTCAATCTCATTCTTGCTCAGTTTTAGATCAGTCAGTCAGTCAGTTCAGATTCACTCTGGACTTAAACCCACTCAGATTCTTATTCATACTGTAAACTGCTAGAGCAATTCAAGTCAGAATAAAGTGTTTAAATTTTAAACAAAAGTATATTTCTTTAATCATCATCAATAAAGAAAACCCAATTCAAAGCAGTTAATTATCCTGGGGTTTTACCCCCTTAACCGCAAGAAAAAGAACCCACAACTAAGACGTTCTGTCGAACTCGGAAAACTGTTGGAAAAGCCTGCTTCACGGAACCAACAGATTGACGTTACCAGAACGTCACAGTATGCTTTATTCACATAACCTCTCTGTTTGCTATATTTAGGTTATGTTCCAAAACATCCTTTTCAAGGAAAATTTTACTACTATTATCTATAATGCGATGTACATTTAGTATTTCATAATTAGAAATATTTGTAATAGTGTTATTTTATAAGATACTTAATTCACATAATTTCTGTTTATTATCTGGGTTACGTTCCAAAACATATCCTCTTCCAAGAAAATTTTACTTAAAAAATTAGTGCACGTTATGTGTATTATAGATTTTCAGTAGAATTTTCCTCGAAGAGGACGTTTTGGAATATGTAACTCTGCAAATGCAAAATAGCTACATTTATTTTAATTTTTAACGTATATACTTGTTCTCAAATTTATGTCTTCAATAATTTCAATAATTTCAATAATCCAAAATAAATTCAAAGTAATTAATATTTTTAAGAATATATCATTTATTATTATTAAAAAAATATTTTTTAAATATCAAATTTTTTATATTGATTGATTTATATTAAAATTTGTAGGTTTAATGACATTTTTACTGTCTAGAAAATGTCATTCATTGGAATTGAATTTACAGATGATAGTGGTGGCGGCCTTGCACTTGTAAGCAAACAGTGGTTAACACCACTTAAACAAGAGGTGTTTTGGCCGCCTTATAAATTTCAATCTCAATATAATAAGGCTATTAAAAAAGGCGTAGTCCCAGAGGAAGATGGTTCTTGGAAAATTTTTAAAATTAAACGCTGTTTTTTTGAAACTGGTAAAGTGTAAATTACAAAATTTTCTATAAATATAATATTTATCTTTATGTATATATAATTGTATTGTAGATGATTATAGCAAAGCACAAAGGCAAATCAAACAAGCACAGATAACGTCTGATTGTCAAAGTGAAGTTGAGGAGGTTTTGCCATTAAAGAGAACAATCCATAAACCGAAAAAATTAATATACAGCAGCAGTGATGATGAGGACGAGGTTTTATCTGAGAAGCATAAACTTCCACCACCACCAAAGATTGTCAGATTAAATAACAAGGCAAATAATGATGAAGCATCATCTTCATCATCACGTAAGTGATCCCTATAAGACACAATATTCCTAAAATATTGTATAAATATTATTAACAGTTAATAATATTTATACAATATCCTAAGAATATTGTGTGCTTATAGGGATATATCAATTAGTTATGGTCATTATATATCAATATAATAATATTAACATTTTGGTTAACTATAGAAATAGAGAAAGATTTATAATTATATGTATATTTAAGAATTGCTTTTCTTGATTTCAACATTACGAAATATACAGATCTATTCCTTTGTTTATTTATAGTTTTAGCACTAATTGAAAAAGATAAAAATCGAGCTCAAGTAAAGACAGAAACAGTAATATTTTACAAGTTACTCACAGTAGATAAATAAACAATAAATGAACTCTATATCATTTAAAAACAAATATTAACATTTTTTACATATATTTTTTAGAAACGTCAAAAAGTATCCAACAAAGTGCAGCATCTGATACACTGAATTCTTTTAATGGTGATCCTCAAACATCGTACAGTAGTCCATCTCATTCAACAAATATATTTAGATCATTTTCGAATAGTACTCCAACTATATCAACTGTAATTGAAAATAGTTTTCAAGATAGTATCCACAATGACGGTACAGGTAAAACTTAAATTTGTTAAAAACTTTGAAATTTAATAATTATATTATTATTATATTATTGTCTTATATATTTTTTTCAGTTACCAAAAAAATATTTTCCTTCCTTATTCATATTAAGGAACAAAATAACAAAATATTAGCATTATTTAATGATAAACAAATCGCTCCAAATATTTCAGCTCAATTAACTTTAGAAGATTTGCCAGTAAATTTACCTGTATCGACTCAAGCGGAGTTGGATAGTTTTGAAAATTATTTAAAAAGTAATCAAAATAATTTATCTTCCATGGTAAATATTTGTTATTATGTAAATCAATAACTTTTTCTGTTACTATGTGATTTCTGTTAATACAAGTTTTAATATTACAGTGTTCATATTTAGCCACATTGGTGGAAGAGATTTTACATCCAAAACTAACAGGATTTTAAAATATCTTTTAAGAGATGAGGTAGCTTCTAATTACAGTTTTTACGGTAAACGAATGAACAAAAGTCCCTTTTCTTCTTTAACTTGCTGCAGTGCTGTAGTTAGTAAGTATTTCTTTTTATCAAATTTAAAAAAGTTTATTATACAATTGTTATTATACGTTCACTATCCATATAAATTTTATTATGGGCAATGTTAGCTAAAACATATCCAATAAGGTTGTTCTAATGTTATTAAAATTTTATGAATATGCAGTTGCATTAGTCGCTTATCATTTACATTTATATTACATTTCTGAGCTGTTAAATATATAGATAACTAAATAAAACAACTACATGTTTATTAATAACATTAATAACAATTAAAAACATTGACACAGTAATAGATCTTTAGCTAATATCAATTATGACAGTATATTATGAAATTTTCTTTGAATTTTGGTCTCAAAAAATACTCTCTGTATTGCTCATTTCATGTATTAAACTTTTGTTTTTATAGAATCGGTAAAATCAACATCATCTCAGACAGAAAAAGATATTGAAGATGTGATTAAGGTATGGCTTAAACACGCACCTCAGCGTATAAAAAATCGTAATAAAAATAAAGCTCCTGAACATAATAATAATAAAAAATAATAAATTGGTTTTTATAAAGATTAGGTTGTGATCCGTTTTGAGATAGAGTTTTTTGTTTCAAGTTTCTTAGAATTTATTTGTTTTATTCGGTACTTATATTTTAAGTTTTTGTCTACAGAAACATTTATTTTATTGTTTTATTTTAATTTTTATATTTGCGTTAAATTTAATACTATTCCTTGAAATATATTCATTAAAATATATTTAGCTTTGCTTTTTTAGATATCAGATAAGTAAAAGATAAGTATATTAATTTATTTTTATACAAAAATGTTTTCAAATAAAAAAATCAAACATAAAAAAACAAAATTAAAACATAATGTAGGCGTGCGACAGTTATATAGGAGAGTCTCAAAAGCTGTAAGTACTATTTTAGAAGTAGTGCAAATTGAAGCTAATAATATTAGTGTTAATAATGGTAATATTTCAAATATTAATAATGATGAATGTTCCAATTATAATATTAATAATGATGAACGTTCTAATTATATTAACAATGAATGTTCTAATTGTAATAATTTCTCTGAAGAAGAAAGCTTTACATATACACAAAATGTTACTTCATGTAACTTAGATGTTATTGAAAATATTATTTCCGATATAGATGTATATGATTCCGATAGTAATAGTATAGTTACAAATCCAGTTTTATTATCACGAGATAATCATTCACCTTTGCAAAATGATTTATCTACAAAGCTACAAGACTGGGCAACAAATTATAAAATTTCCCATTCTGCACTCACTAGTCTTTTACATATTCTTTCACCTCATTTCGCAGAATTGCCTCTTCATTCTAGAACATTGCTTCAAACACCTATACATATGCAAAGTAAACAATTGGAAAATGGAGAATATTGTCACATTGGCTTAGCAAATGAATTAAAGAATTTTTTGGCACAAAATACTATGTTCTCAGCTGAGGTGCTTAAAATTGGATTTAATGTTGATGGTTTACCTTTATTTCGTAGTTCAAACATTCAGTTTTGGCCAATTTTAGGAATAGTTAAAAATACCACACAAAATAAACCATTTCCTATTGGAATTTTCTGTGGCACGTCAAAACCAATACCGTTAGAGAAATTTTTAGATGATTTTATAAATGAATTAGTTTATCTATTAAAAGAAGGTATTGAATATTGTAATAAAAAATATCGTTTGGAAATTCACAGCTTTGTATGCGATGCTCCGGCCAAAGCATATTTGAAAATGATTAAGTCACATTGTGGCTATTCCTCATGTGATAAATGTACTGAATCAGGTAATTATGTTCAACGAAAAGTTATTATGAAAAATATTTCGGCCTCAAAACGGACAGACGATTCTTTTAAATTACAGTTGGATAAAGAACATCATATTGGTAAATCACCTTTGTTAAAACTTGAAATAGGTTTAGTTACATCTTTTCCAATTGACTATATGCATTGTGTATGTCTAGGTGTTGTGAGGAAACTTATACATTCTTAGATCGATGGACAACCATTACAAGTAAAACTTTGTAGTAGATCTACAAATATAATATCAGAACGATTAATATCACTAAAGCATTGTATTCCTGCAGAAATTAATAGAAAGCCTAGATCACTGTCAGAGTTGCAAAGATGGAAAGCAACTGAGTTTAGAACATTGTTATTATATACAGGTCCTTTAGTTCTCAAAAATGTGGTTGATAAAGCCATTTACCAGCATTTTTTATTATTGCATTCTGCAATTACAATATTAATTTCTAAAAAGCATATTTCTAAATTTACTTGTGATTTTGCTGGTGAGCTATTAAAAACCTTTGTTAATCATTGCGAGAAAATATACGGATTACAATTTTACGTATATAATATTCATATGCTATCTCATTTGAGTGATGATGCACAAATATTTGGCCCTTTAGATGAATTCTCTGCTTTTGCATTTGAAAATTATTTAGGGCAGCTTAAACAAACTATTAAATCTCCTCACAAACCACTTAAACAAATATACCGTCGGTTAAAAGAACTTTCTATTTCCTCTGCTAATAAATATCTTACAACTAAAAGTTTAATAATGTATGAACTAGAACATACTTTTGGACCTTTACCAACAGCTGGTTGTCATTATAAACAATTTAAAAAATTGCGTTTAGAATCTTTTACTTTAACTATTAACTGTTATTCCTCTTCTGATTGTTATTGCCTCACAAATGACAATTTGGTACTGCAAATCCTTAATATTATAGTTGGAACAGAAGATGAAATTTTAATAATTGGTAAATATTTTCTTTCTTATAAGTCTTTTTATTCATATCCTATTGAATCGAAAGATTTATATATTTTTGAAGTAAAAAATTTATCAATACAGAATCATACGAGGTCCTACAAAGATATTATTGCGAAATGTATACTTTTACCAATGGATAAAGTTTTGTTATCTATGCCTTTAATACATTCATTATCAGCTTAATAATTATTATGTTTTTTACTTAAAAACATTCTTGTATAATTAATTTTTTAATAACTTTACATTATAATTCATAATTTTAATTGTTTATTTTATAATAAGATATAAATGTATATATGTTTGTTATAATATATATACAACATAATTTTTTTATAAAAAGATTAATGTATATGTTTGTTATAATATACACAACATTATAATTCATAATTTTAATTGTTTTTTTTATAATAAGATATAAATGTATATATGTTTATATATATATATATATATATATATATATATATATATATATATACAGGGTGGGGCATTTATCTGGAGACAAGATAATATCTCGATTGGAGTCGATTATTTTGAAAAAAGTTTTAGACAAAAGTTGTATGGTTTCAAGGGGGACATAAAATGGTGTCATTAGTTTGATCTTGAAGAGCCATCTGAAGGACACGCGAAGGTCAGCTCCAACTTTTTAAATGGGACACCCTATATGCTTTTGCATATTCTTGTAGCTCATCTCAAGAGCTTTCCAAAACACTATAATTAAGTTAGTTTTCATTAAGTACTTTCCAAGTTATGAGACTTGAAATCATTTTTTAATTTTACATAAACCGTAAAATATCTTGTAAAATATTCATTTTTCGATTATTTTACCTTAATACTTTTATGTACAAAATAATGAGAAAAATCAATTGGTGTAAAGAAAACTCATAGTTGTTTCGAAAAAAAAAATGTAATTTGCAATTAACAATTACATATTTTTTCTTAAAAATAACTATGTCTTTTCTTTACACCAATTGATTCCTCTCATTATTTTGTACATAAAAGTATTAAGGTAAAATAATCGAAAAATGAATATTTTACAAGATATTTTACGGTTTATGTAAAATTAAAAAATGATTTCAAGCCTCATAACTTGGAAAGTACTTAATGAAAACTAACTTAATTATAGTGTTTTGGAAAGCTCTTGAGATGAGCTACAAGAATATGTAAAAGCATATAGGGTGTCCCATTTAAAAAGTTGGAGCTGACCTTCGCGTGTCCTTCAGGTGGCTCTTCAAGATCAAACTAATAACACCATCTTATGTCCCCCTTGAAACCATACAACTTTTGTCTAAAACTTTTTTCAAAATAATCGACTCCAATCGAGATATTATCTTGTCTCAAGATAAATGCCCCACCCTGTATATTATATATATATAATATATGTTTTGTTACAACATATCCATCAGATGTATATGCCAAGTTACATATCAGCAATAAATACATGTGAAATAAATATGTACTATACATTTTTTATCTTCTCCAAAATATTAAAATGACGTCTTTCTTACGTCAGAATAGAGTAAAAAAGGTTATTATAACACGTCATTTTCACGTCTCATTATGACGTCTGTGGGCTGTGACTTATTCCCGTCATTTTTACGTTATTATTACGTATTTATAAAAGGATAACTGACGTTACGACTGACCAAAAATTAACGTGAAAATCACGTGACGTTGCTGCCTGGGTATATATATATATAATATATGTTTTGTTACAACATATCCATCAGATGTATATGCCAAGTTACATATCAGCAATAAATACATGTGAAATAAATATGTACTATACATTTTTTATCTTCTCCAAAATATTAAAATGACGTCTTTCTTACGTCAGAATAGAGTAAAAAAGGTTATTATAACACGTCATTTTCACGTCTCATTATGACGTCTGTGGGCTGTGACTTATTCCCGTCATTTTTACGTTATTATTACGTATTTATAAAAGGATAACTGATGTTACGACTGACCAAAAATTAACGTGAAAATCACGTGACGTTGCTGCCTGGGTATATATATATATAATATATGTTTTGTTACAACATATCCATCAGATGTATATGCCAAGTTACATATCAGCAATAAATACATGTGAAATAAATATGTACTATACATTTTTTATCTTCTCCAAAATATTAAAATGACGTCTTTCTTACGTCAGAATAGAGTAAAAAAGGTTATTATAACACGTCATTTTCACGTCTCATTATGACGTCTGTGGGCTGTGACTTATTCCCGTCATTTTTACGTTATTATTACGTATTTATAAAAGGATAACTGACGTTACGACTGACCAAAAATTAACGTGAAAATCACGTGACGTTGCTGCCTGGGTATATATATATATATAATATATGTTTTGTTACAACATATCCATCAGATGTATATGCCAAGTTACATATCAGCAATAAATACATGTGAAATAAATATGTACTATACATTTTTTATCTTCTCCAAAATATTAAAATGACGTCTTTCTTACGTCAGAATAGAGTAAAAAAGGTTATTATAACACGTCATTTTCACGTCTCATTATGACGTCTGTGGGCTGTGACTTATTCCCGTCATTTTTACGTTATTATTACGTATTTATAAAAGGATAACTGACGTTACGACTGACCAAAAATTAACGTGAAAATCACGTGACGTTGCTGCCTGGGTATATATATATATAATATATGTTTTGTTACAACATATCCATCAGATGTATATGCCAAGTTACATATCAGCAATAAATACATGTGAAATAAATATGTACTATACATTTTTTATCTTCTCCAAAATATTAAAATGACGTCTTTCTTACGTCAGAATAGAGTAAAAAAGGTTATTATAACACGTCATTTTCACGTCTCATTATGACGTCTGTGGGCTGTGACTTATTCCCGTCATTTTTACGTTATTATTACGTATTTATAAAAGGATAACTGATGTTACGACTGACCAAAAATTAACGTGAAAATCACGTGACGTTGCTGCCTGGGTATATATATATATAATATATGTTTTGTTACAACATATCCATCAGATGTATATGCCAAGTTACATATCAGCAATAAATACATGTGAAATAAATATGTACTATACATTTTTTATCTTCTCCAAAATATTAAAATGACGTCTTTCTTACGTCAGAATAGAGTAAAAAAGGTTATTATAACACGTCATTTTCACGTCTCATTATGACGTCTGTGGGCTGTGACTTATTCCCGTCATTTTTACGTTATTATTACGTATTTATAAAAGGATAACTGATGTTACGACTGACCAAAAATTAACGTGAAAATCACGTGACGTTGCTGCCTGGGACATGACTTTATATTGACGTCTTGATATAACATTATTTTTACGTCATTTTTCAGTCATGAAGTGACGATTATTTTATTATGAATGTCATTAGTTAGTACATCGATCCCACAAAAAAAAATCTTTTAAAATTTTTTATATAACATGACTTATTTCCCGATCAGACTTTATACATATATATATATTTCTATTTATATATATATATATATATATACATATATATATATATATATATATATATATTTATATTTATATATATTTATAATCATATATATATATTTATTTATTTTTATTTTAATTATATTTATATTATATTTATGAAGTAGAGAGATGAATTGTAGTTTAATATTACTGGCAATAACGAAAGAAATATTACTGAGATATTACTGAACTAATTCGATGTGTTTTCGAGAAATCGTTAATCTTTCCTTTCACACATTCTCGATTGTGTATTATAGCTTATTTAGAAATCGTAATCCAGAGCTCTTGATAACTGCACACATTTATAACGGAAGGATTATATTGACAGAAAGAAAATGAAATTTGTAACAATACTTGTGTGGTTCAAGTTATTATACCATCAATTTATTAAATTATTGACAATTCAAGAAAAACAATTTTGATTAAAATGTTGCTTTCCGCGTATAATGCTAATACATTGTCCGAAATTTCAAAAATTTCAATTATTTTATGATGATAGAAAAGGCAGAGTAAGAGAAGAAAGAATTACTCAAAACATATTCGAATTTGTAACATATTTAAATAAATATCGAGAGCTGAATACCGAAAAAAACTTACATCGGATTAAATAGATTTTTAAATTATTTTATATTAATCAATATTTATATTAATTATTATTTTATAATAATTAATATATATTAATTATTATTTTATAATAATTAATATCTATTAATTATTATTTTATAACAATTTATCTACATAATATATTGTCACATTATTACAGTATATAAAAGTATTCTCACAAAAAAGTCATTTTTAAATTTCGAGAAATATAATAATACTTATTTAAATATTATTATAATTAATATTAAACAATATTATAACGATTAATTTAAAGAGCATAAGAATTCTGATGTTTTTATATCTCATTTTTTTAAGATTACATTTCTTTCATTTTCTTAAGTTTTGCCTTCTCTTCGCTGCCCTTTCGTCTTTCGGAAGGAGATCACGAACAAAAGAATCACGCATACGATCATACGTCAAGAGAATCAGTTTCTTCGCAAAAAATTACGTAAATATAATACATAATTATAATATTATTATGAAATTAGTCCCCAGCATGAGTCATGATGCAACTAGTAAACTTTCCGAACGTGTATTGTACATATGTAATGTATGTGTGTATGAGTATATGGATATATGCACTTATGCCTGGGTTTATTCGGTTGCATGGCATCGAGGGGTAAAGCGGAGTTCGAACGATTACTGATTTCCGAACATGCACTTAGGCATGTTCTGCGCAATATGTGCGCAGAACATGCCTAAGTGCATGTTCGGAACGCTTGTATTGCATTTTTTTGCGCAACATTCGTCGGTGATGTCTCTTTTCTGGCGTTTTTTTTGATTACATCTTCCTTTGTAAGTCTTGTTCATTTTTTGTGCCCTTGCTCGGAGGGCTCGCTGAAAAGGGCTGTAGCACTCAGAATAACCTGAAAAAATAACCTCAGAATAAGCCTTCTTCATTTCTGAAAGAATACCCTTAGCTGTAGTCGGTATTCGTTTCTTCCCGGTTCAGAAAATACTTAAGATCTCAAAACTTTTGCTTACCTTTAACATGATGCTGTGCAATAGTTAAATTATTATGTATCGGTTCATCATTTTGATACTCTCTATTATGATTAGGGGAATTATATTTTCCTTCACATACTATTGATAGAGCATTAGATAGCTTCTCGCCACAATATCTTTGGGGCACTTCTGCTCGAATTTGGGGCACTTCTACCCCATTAGTTAATTCAAGCACAAAAAAAGGGATGATCATCAGGCTCACAAGCACGTTCAATTGGTTCGTGGACATCTGAAAATATTCGTTCTCATTTAATTACGCGAACGCATACACGAGGTTGGATTAAAAAACTAAAAGATGGAATATATTATATATTTATATTCATCAGAGAAATATTTATTATATATTTTATATTTATATCAGAGAAAATAAGCTTTTTCGAAGATAGAAAGATAAATAAGAATAGAAAAATAATTAGAGAATATAAAACATAAGTGAGCATGCGTTAATTAAAAGTAGATTGAAATTGTGAACAGCGGTATCATTACGCAACCTTCGATCAAATGAATTAACTGGAACACGCGCGGACTAGACAACTCACATCTATTTCGATAATCTTGCTGGTATTCAATATATTTTATCGAAGGAGTGCGTTTTTGACTACAATTGTGAAAACAGCAAAAACACTATTTCGGACAAACAGATAATTATATGCAGATTGTATGTTAAAGAAATAAAAAGATTTTATACAATGCACAGGCCTGTATATAAAAATATAAATAAATAGGAATCTATCAATTCAAAATTATATTCTCATATATTTCTCATATAGTTAGGATTAACGATATTTATTTCGCGACTTTGCAAGGATGTGACCTTCCAATAATGATACCGTGTATTGTTCATAGTTTGTACGAAAATACACACATACATGTACGCATGTATTTCCGTTAAATTTGAAAGTCTTGTTTTTAGTAAAGATATCGAGAAAGATCAATAACTGAGCTTTAAAAATTAAATATCTATTAAAATGTCTTTAAAATTAATGAACGAATAATTTTATATATGTATATATATATATATATATATATATATATATATATATACTTTATACAAATATCGAAGCTTGAAATATCGAACTTTTATTTTGATGTTTCAAGGTTGATGAGGGAATTTATTCGCGATCGATTCGCAAACAACGTTTCATTAGACGTGTCCGAGTCATTACCGCAGTAGACACATTGGCTTGCTCCTTTGAACACGCGTAACGCTAATTAATATAGGACCACTTCTATTTCCGGCGCATCGAAATTAGCGATTGAAATTAGCGTTCAACTAAGCTATAACTGAAAGAAATGACGCATATTGATGTCGAATTATGTCTAATATTATTTATCTTTTCCTCGCGATTAGTACGACTGAAAACACGCACATTTACAATTCGTAGCATTATTGCTCCGACAGATCAAACTTTAATTATATTCACGATTTATCATAAAACTCTAAATATATATACTGAAATGAAATTCCAAACTAAATTAACATTCTTTCTTTAAAGTTGATGAGGCAATTTCTGAACGTTATTTCTAATATCTACTTTAAGATTTCTTTTACATACCTTGAGAGTTTATAAAGATTTTGCACTCTGATCCGGAAATCTTCCTTAAATATTCAGAACGGTAATTCAACTATAATTATTCTTTGTCTGGAAGAAACTGCGTGATCGTCGGTGAGTCGTTCTCGTCGATCTGAAGAAGGTCGTACATCTTTCAAAATATGAACCCGCGGATGGGGGAAATAATTGTGTTTATGTTTTGCGAACGCGGGCAACGCAACTCGTGGCATCTTACTGCGAAGATGATAAGCGCGTTCGCACGTCGTCGATACGCCGTGAGAGCAAAACAAATAAAAATATATCGGCCTAATTTATCGGCGCGCGAAAATTAGTTCGTACGTGGTACACGGTATGAGTCATTATTTTTAAATTTATTTCCGTAATCTATTAATGCAGTAATCCATTTATGTAAGGTATTTCTAAAAGAGAAGACCAGCTGACAATAAGTTTAAAATTAGTTTTTTCGCAAGAGTGAATGAAATGTGAAATGAAAAGATCCGGAAGTGTATTGTTTTTTGGAAAAAAACATTTAAGATATTATGTTAATGCATTTTTTTCTCATGTATTTGTTTCTCTTTAATATTACACTTTTGTCAATTTAGACCGATTAAGAATTTATTGATTTTTTTGAATTCGCATAATTTTGCGTATAAAATAAGATATCAGGCTGTATCGCTGCTTCAAATTCTCTTAAATAAAATGACATTAAACAACAATTATTATACGTGTCGATAATAACGTGTGTGCCGTTCATTGGCTTCTCGTCTGGCGCCTTCGATGATCATAAACAGAGTACCGAATTACATAGATCCTCCCGACAATCTTAAGAAGAGACGCATTTTATAGTGAAAAAAAGTTCTGTAAATTGGAAAGAGTACTCGGGTATCTTGATCACTTTCCCTTCCCTTCCTCAATTCCGGAGCTATTCACTTTTGATCTTTTTTCCTCTCTCTCGTTTACTGTCTCTCGAAAGACTGAACATTCTGATGTTACGCTCCCTGAATTATGGATATACGAAAATATCCATAATTATATACGAAAATGTTCTAATTATATGTCATTATATATTATTTCTATAATATAAGTAATTATATTATTTTTTTTATAATATATGTAATTATATTATTATTTCTATAATATATGTAATTATATGTAATTATATGTAATTATATATTATAGAATATATATATATATATATATATATATATATATATACATATATACTTCATCTTTTCTGATACATGTCCTATATGGAAATGTTTAATATATTATCTGATTAGATATCCATATCTATGTACAAAAATACACACAAATCCTGCCCCAAGTAATAAGGATTAAATTCCTTTACTAAAAAGAGATCATCAATTGGATATAGGGACCATAAATAATATAAAGTTGCTTCTCGTCTTTGATGTTTTCGGTTTGCCGTTTCGCTGGACCCGAGGCTCCGCTCTCAGGAAGTGATTGTTACGCTCTTTCTTCGGCCCATTTCTCCTCGAGTCATAACAATATCTTGCACGGTGTTATGATTTATCATTTAACACTGTGACAAGATATTATCTCGCTTCCGTATATCTATAATTTAGCAAGCATATGTACATTCATATGTAATTATATTCCTACTAAAATATAATGTTATATTATCTTCCTTTATCAGAAGCAAATGAAAATGTGAATCGCATTTGTCGTCTAAACTATCATGTAATTAGTGTGATCTTATTAATGTGAAAGTAATAGCAAGAACAATTATGTGTGTTTTCATGTATATTTTTTATCTTAAGAACAATTATGTGTTTTCTCATAGATGAAAAAATATTTAATAGTAAATAGCATCAATAAAAGTGAATAGAGATAGATTTTATTATTGCTTCAGATAATATTGTTATTATTATAAAACGTATATATTTAATTATTTTATTACAAAATTTTATTACAATCATTTTATTACAAAAAATCAAAATCAAGCTATATAATTTTTATTCAATAGTGAAAATTCTTTTCTTATATATGAGGAATAGATAATATGCATAGGCAAAAAATAATTTATAAAAAATGAAATGTGCAAATTATATTATTCCAACGAACGCTGGATTATACAATGTAGAATAAGCAATATTAAATATCTTTCAACCTATTCCATCGTTTTATTGTTGATGATGAATCCGCTTATTATACCGACATATTCATTTATTATGTCACATACGTCGAAGAAAGATATTACTTTAGATACATTTCTTCCGATATCAAAATTCTTTTATAATTCTGGCTTATAACGTGTTATCTTTTTACCCAAATAAATAAAAGTATAAAACATAGTTAAATTGATATGGAACATATACACACTCTTATCTGAATAAAATCGATTAACCATGTAATTGTTATAAAAGCATGATATTATAAATATGCCTGACATTCGATTCTCTTCTATCTGAAGAGCAAAGTTAGCAGATATTCCCTAAGTAAAAAGAATTTATACTTAAAATATTGCATTACTACGCAGTAAAATTTTCGAAAGTATGCCGAACGTGACTTTCTGTGTTCTCTTCTCGTTATTAATTGTAGGCACATTTTCTTTTGCTATTAATAATAAAGTTACATCATTAAACGAACAGCCCTCCTATACAGATTTGGTAGCATCGGTAAGTTAATTTTTCGAAAATATAATGTTTGACAGAGTGAAATATTTTTAATTATTATAAAAACAACTGTGTCAGCATCACACGTTTATTATTGTATATTATTATAACAAATTATCATATGACAATATTATTTTAAACTTTTCGAAAAAAGCTATTTCTTTTTTTATGTAAATATTTTCCAATATTTTTGTTAATAGAAAGAATTTTTCTGTTAAATTTCTTACTGTAAAAAAAAGAAAATCAATGTTATAGTATGAAGCTGGTAGGAAAGAACACACTCAAATCAAAAAGAAATTTTAAGCAAAAACAGAGGTTGAAAAAATGTATATTAAACGATAATTATTATCAAGAAACAGATTAATAATTTTATTAAGATTTTGGAGGTATTTTTGATGTAATAATTAAATATTCTGTCTACTAAGCCAAAAATAATTCCTTTTTTATATCAAATGTTATCAAATGTTATCAAATGTTATGAATGAAAATTTAAAAGTCCAAGAAAGTCGTTTGAGTATACCAGTCAAATTAAATAAAATTTTTATTTAATTACAATGACCACATCTAAAAAATTGATAACATTATTTTTTCCTATTTCGATCGTAAATTGAAGTCTGTAATGAAAGAAGTTAAATAGAGTCCAATAGAGTAAAATGAAAAGAAAGGGAAGAAGCAAGTATCCTCAATGTATTCAAAATAAAAAAAGAGTGAAAGAGGCAACTTAGAAATAGCTTGCTCTTCAAGATCTTGAAAAAGCAAATCCGTCATGATAGGAGAGAGGAGAGAGCTCATCGGTATACCGAAAGATTGTCGAATATATTTTGAATTTAAAAATTTAGAATGTAGCACTAAGCGTATACCGATTCGAAATTCGGAGTATAAAAATATTAGTATTCTTACCAATGAGGTGTCACATTTTTCAATACCTCTAATGACAAGTTCCAATGGGACGTTCATAAAGGATGAAATGAAGAGAAATGAACTTGTGTTGTTCATTTATAAATTGACTTTATAATTTATTTACGAGGCCAATTATATAAAAATCGTATTATAAGATTAAAATATAGCATATACATACACTCGCGCTTATTAGAATGAAATCGATCAATTATGAATAAATAATATAAAAGTACGTTCGTGTAATACGCTTAACATTCGTTTATTTTTCATTGGAACAGCAAAGTTAGCAGACCTTCTTTCTGTAAAAAAGATTTTTATTCTAAAGAGTTTAACATTGTATTATTATGCAACAAATTTTTGGAAACAATGTCAAACGTGTCTCCCTGTGTTCTCTTTTTGTTATTAATCGTAGGTATATTTCCTTTCGCTATTAATAAAAAAGTTAAATCGTCAGACAAACAGTCTTCTTGTACAGATTTAATCGCATCGGTAAGTTAATTTTGCGAGAATATATTTGAGATAAAAAATTGAATTTATTATGATTATACATATATTATATTTATTAAAATTGAATTTATTTTTATTCATTTATTATAATAATTTGATTCTATCATAATAAACGACTCTACCCGCATACACGTTTATTATCGTGTAATATTGTAACATATTATCATATAAAAATCATTATAAACTTGTCGAAAAAAATTATTCCTTTTGTAAGTACGTAATAAAATGATCTCGAAACATTATTCTCCTCTCTATTATTGTAATTTTATATAATTTAATTTCATAGATATTTACTTTAATGAAGTGTCTACCAATGGAATCCCATTTGACTTTAGTGCTGGACGGAGATTACAATGAATTTCTTGCACACTCACATAATAATATGATACCAGTAGCATTGACAGATGAAAGAAATTCTCGATTCTTACTTCGGATACCTTCCGGAATGGACTTCGAACGCATCGTTTCGTGTTAGTGACATCTTCTCAACCTCTCTTGCGAGCTCTGTTAATTAATAATAAAACAACTTAAGAAATATATGATATATATAATTTTATATGTATAATATATAATTTTATGAAAAATATCATGTACAATAATATCAAATGCCTCAAAACTGATAGTACAACCAAAAAAAAAATATAAAAAATAAGTCGAAAATAGGTATATGTATAGCAAATATAGCAAAATTTTATTATATGAGGATTATTAAATGTTTTTTTAGAATAACAAATTTGATATTCAAATAGGTGTGCTTGATTATCTTTAGTCAGAATAGTCTAAATTTAAAAATTTTTTAAAATTATATGTTACTTTTATTCACGGTCAGCGTCCAGATTCGTTTCCGGCGTCAAAAAATCTGATAAATTTACATACTCTGCTTTTCGTAACCAATCAAACCTAATATTTTGCAGGCCTGTGACATTAATATATTTTGGCAATTTAATTGAAAATAAAAATTTATATGTATATATATGCATATAAATATACATATATATATATATATATATATATATATATATACATATACATACATATATTTTTCGAATCTATTTATAGTCATAATAATTAATCTGAGAAGAACTTTTTAGTTTTAATAATCG